ACAGAAGATGAAGGCACATTCCCAGGCCCGGGCAGCTCACGGGGATTTTGGCTGTGGGTAAGGACAGCAGGCAGGGGCAGGGTGCCACAGCTTCCCAGCAACGGGAACACACTCGCTTCAGCCACAGCCACCAGGCTCAACAGCTCTGAACGTACCATAACTGAGGATAATGGCTTTGTAACTGATACAACAAACACATCCGGGGTTTTAGCAAAAGTGAGTTTCAATTCTGACCAGTGCTTCTGCCCCGTGACCCGTCTGGACCCTCGCTAAGTCCACGGCAAGAAGTTGCAGTGCAGCATCAGCCCCAGCAGCCAGTAGGACAAGAAGAATCCGAGGATGCATTTGCTGAGGGGGGTGATTAATCTCCAGTTCAGCAGCAGCCTTACGACGGGGTTTTCACAAGTCTCGTTCCCACAGGAACCAGGGGATTCACCTAGAAGAGACTCCTCAGAGCGAGGTGCCGCCATCTGACGATCAGCCCCTTCGCTCCAGAGCAAAGGTTCGTATTCCTGAAGCAGGTGAGCAGAGAACCAGTACAGGATGGGAGAGGAGGAGCCAAGGAACCTGGTCAGCACCTGAACACGATAGGCAGAGAAAAAAAACAACCGTAATTTGCAGGTCTCCGACTGTGATCAACCATGATCCCACAGCATGAAAGGCACCATCTATCTGCCTCAGATCACCGGTCAATTATTTTTGCACTGAACCCCCCAACCCTTAGTGCCACCAGCTGTGTCCTAGAAAGACCTTCAAACCCTTTCTAGGGACTGGCAGGCTCTGGATCCCTTCACTGCCATCCGTTAAGCTTGGCCCAACATGATAACGACCCGGTACCCTTGTCCTCCAGCAGCTGCTTGGCAGGGCTCGGCAAACATCAAACACAACCCGACACCAGCCAGACCCTTTGATCCCTCCCAGTGTCCCACTGAGCCACTGGCAAGCTCTCTTTGGGACCTCTCCAGCTGACCAGCTTTGGAAACTCTCTGTGGAAGTAGCTCCCAAAGAGGAAAGGCAAAATTTTTTGCTTGCGTCACCCTGTGCTGCCCTGCAGCAGGGAGAGGTTCAGGCTGTGACTGTCACTGTCACCACCCTGCGCTCCCCCGCTAAGAAATCGCTTCTGTGCCTTGCTGTGAGTGTCCTACCTGCACGTGTATGCAGAAGAATCCAAACGCCAGCAGGACTGTGGCATGGACCATATACACGAAGACACTGGGGCTGCAAAATCCAGCTCTTGGCTTACCCTCTTCTTCACTCTTTCTTCTCTCTAGACCAAGAGTTAGGCACTGCCGGGGGTTTGCACTGATGTACGTCCAGGCAGCCCACGAGCCCAGCAGTGCGACAGGCAAAGCGAGCAAGAAATTTGGTGTCTGTCTGAGCTCAAAATACCTTAGAAAGCCCACATTCCAGTAAGTGTCTTGGATATAGGAATACACCAGCGGGAAAGGCTGGGAGCACCAAGGGGGTTTAACCCTGTCCGCGGCCACCAGACGATAGCCCTTGTCCAGAGCCAGCTGCCGCAGCGGCTTGGGAACAGTCTGCTCCAGGCTGGTGCTGGGAGCACAGAACCTCACGTAGGAATAATACTGAAATAAAGCAAAAGGTAGAAATATCCCAGCGCCCATCAGAACCGCTGAAGATGCCAGGCTGAGGAGTCGTTTCCACAACGGAGGCAGCTCCCTTACTGATCCTGGACCCACCTGGAGCTGGAGGGCAAAGCGTTTACCGCGGGAGTAGAGAAAGAAGCCGGCGTTAAGAAGCCCGTTGGCACGCACCCCAGAAGCGAGGGAGAAGAGCAGTCCGCTGAGCCAGCTCTGCCCCTTCTCCAGCTGCCACAGGGCACTGAAGGCCAGGCAGGCAAACATGCTCTCCGAGTAAGCAGCTGCCAGAAAGACGTTGGCAGGGCTGACGGAGAAGAGAACGGCGGCAAGGAAAGCCACCCTGCGACATCGCAGCACGGCCCGGCCCAGCTCATACAAAGCGGCGGCTGCCAGGACGGAAAAGAGAGAATTGAGCAGCACGGCCGACAGCAGGAGGCGGCTCCGCAAACGCAGCGGCCACCGCAAGGGCCAGAGAGCACCCTCGGCCACGGCCCACACGCTCAGGGGGTACAGCGGGAAGAAGGCGCAGTTGTGCTCGTACAGGTAACCGTGCTCGGCGATGAAGAGGAAATGCTCGGCGTCCCAGCGCGAGAGACCTCCCAGAAGCTGCTCCAAGAGCAGGTCCCACGGGCTGGGCTCCGACAGGCGAGGGGGAGAGAAGGCGTCCGCGGCATGATCTGGGATCAGGAGGTTAAACAGAGCCTGCAAGAAAAGAAGAGAGGAATGAAGTTTAGCAGAGATCCTCTTGTACCCTAACAAAAGCAACGAGCAAGAGGAGTCCCGGGTTTGAGCCGGGACAAGAGCAGCACAGGAGCCAGGCTGAGGGCCTTTGCAGCAAGGATGCCCGTGAGGCTGCAAAAAGCCACGAGCACAATCTCTTGGGGCATTTACACCTGAACTGAGCACAGGTCTAGAACACATCCAGCACAAATCCCTGCAGAGCTGGACAGGGAAAGTTGCTCAGCCCTGTGCTCGGCCATATCTAACTGCGTACACTCATGCCGGGCACTCTGGCAGCACCGCTAAGCCTGAATTCTCCTGCATTTGGCACTATTGTCCCAGCTGAGGTACAAGGAGGAGGAGACAAAGCTGGAGAAGAAAAGACTTTCCTGGAGCAAACTGCTGCAGAAGAGAGAAGCTAAAACCCTGCCCCCTCTCTCTAGTGTCTAGATCTCCCTCATCTCTGCAGCTGGGCAGGCACAGAGGGGTTAATTTTCTGGAGATGAGCAAGCAGAACGAACCCACCTCTGCCTCCAGGAGCTGGTGGTGCTGGCCATGTTTTGAAACAGGAGAGGAAACCCCGGAGAGCTCATGAGATAGGAGGTACACAAGGCACTGTAACCTAATTCCAAATGAAAACACGTTTCTAGAAAAACCCCAACACCTCAGACGGTACGTTCTGTAGCTTAACTACCCGCAGATCGGGATGAGTCCCCTGCCACGAATTCAGCGCTGGCTAAGGAAAGAGGAAAAGCCGCGCTGCACAGATCGGCACCACAAGGCACACGAAGCCGCCGTTTTGCCATGAAGCACACACAGCTGGTCTGACCAGGCCTCTGGCATCGGTCAGACGGAGCTTTGTGTCACAGCTGATGGTTCCACTTGGCCCTGCCCAGTGGTGACCGGGGCTGCCCCAACCTGCCAGCTGGCTGGGGGCTGGCGCTGAACAGCTTTCTCCGGCTGAAATTGTTTCGGGAGGGCCACAGCTCCAGCCAGACTCTGCTGGCTGTCACAGGGAGGATGGCGTGAGAGCAGCCCAGCTCTGCCACGCTCAGAGAAGACGTCCGCCCAAATGACACTTAAAAGGAACATCCAGGAGGACATTGTTGTTCCTCTTCTGTGGATAAACGGAGACTTGAGCCTCCACGTCACCTCTCGCAACAGTGGCATGAAAACATGGTAAAGGCAGAAGGAAATGTGTGCGATTTTACTGAACAGCAATCCACCTCCCTGGATGCAGCCGGCCTCCAAAGGAGAAGATAACTTGCCAAACGAGCAGAACCAGCTAGCCCACGGCGCGCAAGGCAGCACCGAAGAGAGAAGCCTCGGAGCAGCAAAGATATCGCAGCATCTTTGGTTCAGGACCGGGAGACTTGCCTGCAGCAGCAGCGCCAGGGCTCTGCAGAACACCGCGAACCGCACGACCTCGCGGAGGCAGGGGTCCTGCCCGCTCACCAGCTCCATTCCAAGCTCGCAAGTTGCCTCAGCCCGGGAAATTCTGCCTCCGGTTTCGGAAACCTGAATCAATAAACAGAGAGGACGGATACAGAAAGGTATTTCTGGCTTCAGCCACGTTGGTAAATCAGGCATCTTTATTAACTGTCAGGCACTTCAAAGGGCTGCAAATCTCTACGAACAGGAAAGTCACTTATGGAAGAGATCGTGGATCCGGGAGGTGACACAGAAAACCTCTTTGATATTGCTCCTATTTTAAAAAATTCCTGACTCCTTAACCTTGGCCAGGATGCAGAGGGAGCGAGGTTACACGTGCTTTTCTTTTACATTTTCTTTTACATTTTCTTTTACATTTCTTACCAGGCCAGTGTAAATACCAGAAGCAGAGACGCTCGGTGGCCTCCTCGGTGGCTGCCTCAGCAGAAACACCAGCAGCTCAAGCCAGAACTCTACCAGGCACCTACACACATGAACTCAAGTTCCTATGCGCTGAATTTAAACCTTTTTTTTCGGAGGCGGGGGGGAGTTGGGGATAGAGACCGAATTAAAACGTGGACTCTGGGCATAACACCCAGTCTGCTGATGGCGGGGCGGCACTGCCAGGCCCGCTCTCTCCTGCTCCCTGCCCCGTGCCTGCCCCTGGGAAGCCGAGAGCGGCTTTATCCAGCTGCCGCCACGGCGCCCGCCCCACCAACTCCATCAGAGCAGGGTTAAGGCGCCTTCTCAGACGCGCAGGCTTCCTCCCACCCCCTCCGTCGATCAGAGATGGCATCTCCAGGACGTGACGCTCACGCCCTCGCCCCTACACTGGCAAAGTCGGGGCCGTTTGTTCCTTCCACGGACGCGGTGGTTGGACCCACGTGTCCGTGTTTTGTCACCCTGAGACTGATTTACACGACCGAGCTGGCCGCAGTATGGGATCATTTCGGACACGGAAGGCTCAATCAGCACCAAAGAGCCACTTATTTAAAGAGAGGAAGAATATTGTGATGTTTGACTGCCTGTTTTCGATTCTGTGAAGGAATCTGCAACTTTCTGCAATTTGGCAGGGGTGCTGGTCTCCAGAGTGAGGGCATCTGCCTGTCAGGCAAGTTGCATACGCTACGGTGGCTCTCGTCCACCTCTTCTCTGCAAACCTCATTGGCAAGATTAAAACCCTTTTTGTGCAGTCTCACTTTTCTGTATATTCTGCATTGACGTGGTGGGACCAGCTCTGAAAGCTACTGGCCCGGTGCCACGAAAGGCAGGCAGGATCTGTCAGGCAGCTTTTTAAGATAAGGCATTTCTTCCGTTGGTTCCCCAGCCACCAACTGCTTTTCAGTTTGAGAAACCGAAGAACGCGCGGCTCTCGCCGGGTTCCAGCGACACCACATCCTGCGCGATTTCCCACCTGCCATCCTCCTGATCCAGCGCGTTGCAATACAGAAAGATTCCCCAATCCCATCGCCAACTGATCTAAAAACACGCAGAGGTTTTCCTACTCCCATTTTACTGATGGGAGGAGAAAAAAAACAACCAACCCTGGCAGGTTAAAAAGTGCACAAGAGAGCAGAAAACATGTCACCAGCATGGCAAAAAACCAAGATCCAAATAAGCTCATATATAGCTCCAGTCCCTAACCACAGGATTGCACTTCCTATTTAGCCACATACAAAAGTTTGAGGTTTTGCTCATATTCTCCTCTTGCTCCGGAGCATTCACAGCTACGGACAAAGCAACTAGTGGGAGGCACACTCTCCTGAATCACGAAGCTGCAATGTTATTTTAAGAGAGGGGATACTTCAGCCCAGCTGTAAATTCTATTAAAGCGTGTTCACAGCTGCAAATCCTATTAAAGCACAGCGGCAAAAACAGTCCCAGCACTTTAAATATATTTTTTTTAAAAAAAAAAGCAAGAGAAAAAGCCTCACCTGAATGTGCCAAGAAGGCTCAAAGCGAACAGCTTTAAAAGCCTGTTCCCTTCACGATGCAGCACCTTGTAACGGCAAGTAGTGAAGTCTACAAAAAGCTGCAGCCCACAGCCACCGTTCTAATAGAGAACCCGGAGCTGGAACATCTCTGTGCCAAGACGTGCTGTGTGAAAGAGCACCTGCACGAAGAGAAAAAAAAAGACACGAAAGGGCAGAAGCGGGTTAAAAATATTTCCGCAGAGAAAAGGCGCAAAGACATCTGAATCAAAGAATAATTGGAGACGCCTTTCTCTCTGCGTTCCGCCTTTCCCTTCGCTCTCTGGTGGGAATCGCCTTTCGCTGGGAAGCGTGCTGCAAAAATTAAAGGAGGCGAACAAAACAGGCGCTGGATAAATTACCATGTAAATAAAAAAAAAAGGGATTCGGCGGGGTCTGTAGCGGTGTAGTGGGGAGCGGT